AACAATCATCATCATCATCATCATCATCAGCAGCAGCATCATCATCACCATCATCATCATCGTCATCATCATCACTATCATCATCAGCATCATCAGCATCATCATCATCAACATGATCATCACCATCATCATCAGAGTCAGCATCAGCATCATCATCATCATCACCACCATCACCATCATCATGATCGGCAGCAACACCATCATCAGCATCATCATCAACAGCATCATCATCGTTATAAACATCATCATCATCAACAGTATCGTCGCCATTGAAATCATCATCAGAGTCAGCATCAGCATCAGCATCATCAGAATCACCATCAGCAGCATCATCAGCATCAGCATCATCAGAATCACCATCAGCAGCATCGTCAGCATCATCAGCATCAAAAACACCTTCATCATCATCATCATCAGTATTATCATCAATATCATCATTATCATCATCGTCATCATCAGCATCATCATTGCCGTCGTCATCATCATCATCATCATCATCAACAGCATCAGCAGCAGCATCATCATCAGCATCATCAGCATCATTAGCATCATCATCATCATCGGCATCAGAATCACCATCATCAACATCATCATCATCATCATCAGCATCACCATCATGATCAGCAGCATCATCGTCATCAGTATCAGAATGATTATCTCCACAATCATCATCAGCATCGTCTTCGTTATCATCAGCTTAATCAGCAGCTCGTCAGCATAATCATCATCAGCATCATCAGCATCATCATCACCACCACCACCACCACCATCATCAGCAGCAACATTTCATCTTCGCCGCATTCGTCCGCATCATCCGTATCATCATAAACATCATCAGCAACAGCATCGTCGCCATTAGCGCCACCAACAGTAACAACAAAAAGGAACAAACGCGCGTGAGTGCCCCATGGTCCCAGACCTCGTTCCCCGCGTTCTTCCCTAAGGTGGAACCGCGCGATGTGCCCCATTGGCCGGTTCGGACACCCCCCCCATCAGCAACCAGCAACCAGCAACCAGCAAGCAGCAACCTGGGGCTCCGTTCCCTGCTCCGCTGGCGAATTTGCTCGCATAACGGTGTGGACTCATCCTCCATGCCATTTTGCCGTGTCTGCACCAGCGAAGCTCCGGAATCTACGGTGTCCCATCGGATCCTTAGCGGTGGACCCAGCTCTACTAGAATTCTACTACTGGTGGATCCAGCTCTAATAGAATCCTATTACTGGTGGATCCACCTCTACTACAATCTTATTAGTGGTGGATCCACCTCTACTACAATCCTATTACTGTTGCATCCACTTCTACTACAATCTTGTTAGTGGTGGATCCACTTCTACTACAATCCTATTAGTGGTGGATCCACCTCTACTACACTCCTATTAGTGGTGGATCCACCTCTACTACCATCATATTAGTGGTGGATCCACCTCTACTACAATCCTATCAGTGGTGCATCCACCTCCACTAAAATACAATTAGTGGTGGATCCACCTCTACTACGATCCTATTAGTGGTGGACCGACCTCTACTACAATCCTATTAGTGATGGACCCACTTCTACTACAATCGCATTAGTGCTGGATCCACCTCTACTACACTCCTATTAGTGGTGGAGCCACCTCTACTACAATCCTATTAGTGGTGCATCCACCTCTACTACAATCCTATTAGTGGTGGATCAACCTCTACTACAATCCTAGTAGTGGTGGATCCACCTCTGCTACAATCCTAATAGTGGTGGGTCCACCTCTGCTACAATCCGATTAGCTTGGGCGGAACTCCCTGTGGGGCCAGGGCCACGATCCTCAATAGGGGTGTGCCGAAATCAAGCGTCAGTGGAGTTCCCTGTAGGGCCAGGGCCAAGATCCTCGAGAGATGTGTGCCGAAATGAAGCTTCGGTGGAGCTCCCTGTTGGGCCAGGGAACTCCCTGCGTGGCCAAGGGCACGATCCTCCAGATGGGTGTGCCGAAATGAAGTTTCGGTGGCGTTCCTTGTGGGGCCAGGGCCAAGATCGTGAAGAGGGTTTTGCCGAAATGAAGCTTTGGTGGGGGTCCCTGTGGGGCCAGGGCCGCGATCCTCGAGAGATGTCCGCCGAAATGAAGCTTCGGTGGAGCTCCCAGTGGGGCCAGGGCCACGATCCTCGAGATGGGCGTGCCGAGATTGAGCTTCGGTGGAGCTCCTGTGGGGCCAGGGCCACGATCCTCGAGAGGAGTGCGGCGAAATGAAAACTTCGGATGAACTCCCTGTGATGCCACGGCCACGATCCTCAAGAGTGGTGTGCCGAAATGTTGTTTCGCTGGAGTTCCCTGTGGGGCCAGGGCCATGATCCTCGAGAGGTGTGTTCCGAAATGAAGCTTCGGTGGGGCTCCCTGTGGGGCCAGGGCCGCGATCCTCGAAAGGGGTGTGCCGAAATCGGGCTTCGGTGCAGCTCACTGTGGGGCCAGGGCCACGATCCTCTAGAATGAAGCTTCGGAGGAGCTCCCTGTGGCGCCAGGGCTACGATCCTCGAGAGGGGTGTGCAGAAATGAAGCTTCGTTGGGGCTCCCTGCCAGGGCCACGATCCTCGAGAGGGGTGTGCCGAAATGAAGTTTCGGTGGAGCTCCATGTGGGGCCAAGGCCACGATCCTCGAGATGGGTGTGCCGAAATGAAACATCGGTGGAGTTCCCTGTGGGGCCAGGGCCACGATCCTCGAGAGGGGTGCGCCGAAATCGGGTTTCGGTGCAGCTCCGTGGGGCCAGGGCCACGATCCTCGATAGATGCGTGCTAGAATGACGCTTCGGAGGAGCTCCCTGTGGAGCCAGGGCTACGATCCTCGAGAAGAGTGTGCCGAAATGAAGTTTCGGTGGAGTTACATTTCGGACCAAGGCCGCGATCCTAGAGATGTGTTCCGAAATGTAGTTTCGCATTGTCCACCTGGGCCGGGTGGGCCAACTGGAAGCCCAGGTTAACGCCGGGACTCTCGTAGAGCTCTCCAAACGCGAAGTAGTGAGAATACGACGAGAAATCTCATCTTAATATCAGCTCTAAAAGTCGAAAACCTTATTTGTTGCGTGTTATACGGCTGCGCCGTCTTTTGATAGTAATTGTTCAGCTACAGACCTGACAATTCAACACGCCGACGCGTCATAACCTAGTACAAGTGCAAATAGTACTTGAGCTGTGTAGCTTGCTTCGTTAAGTGCACGAGACCATTATCATCTCCAAAAATGCATCCCGAGGCTGGCGGTTCCTCCACGCTTTTTGACAGCAATATTGCAGCTACAGACCTGAGGATTTCACATGCAGACCCGGCACAATCCACTCCACGATACGAGAATTCGGGATCCCAAGACGAGCTTCCAAATCTCTCACGGGCCAACTAGCTCCACCCCGCGCCGGAATTCCTCTAGCGGATCGAGCTATACGAGGTATCGCAAATCCAAGCCACTGGGAGACGGCGGTGAACCGTCAACCTTGGTTACCGCCGGGAACTCGATATACATGAATGGCATGCGGGCGCGGCAATCTCAAAATCCGCGCGCGCGAGGGTGCGGTTTCATGGAGGAGGAGAAGGAGTAGAAAGAGGTGGAGAAGGCTGAGCAAGAGGAGGAAGCGACGAGAAGAAGGAGCAGGAGGAGGAGAAAGAGGGGAAGAAGGAGGAAGAGAAGGATGACGAGAAGGAGGAGAAGAAAGGGTGAAGGGGAAGGGAAATGATGATGATGATGAGGAGGAGGAGGAGGAAAAGGAGGAGGAGGAGAAGGAACAGAAGGAATAAGAAAGATAGAAGAAGCAGATGGAGAAGGAAGAGTAGAAAGAGGAGGAAAGAGAAGAAGGAGGAGGGGAGAGGAGGGAGAAGAGGAGAAGGAGAAGGAGGAGGCGGAGAAGAAGAAAAAGTGGAAGAAGGAGCAGAAGAAGGAGCAAGAAAAGGAGAAGGAAGGGAAGAACGAGAAGGAGGAGGAGGAGAACGAGGAGAAGAAAAATGAGGGGGAGGAGGAGACAGAAGAGCAGAAGAAGAAGGAGCGAAAATAGTTTTCAGTCGCAGTTCTGGAAGCAGACCGATCTCAGCGGTCTGAATGCTTTCAACTTGCGCTTACCAGCATGTTCTGACGATTCGTATATATCAGATCTTGCAATCTAGCATACAGCTCGAATTGAATACCGAATACATATATGCTATCTCACAAAATATTGCATGGTGCTCAGTGGTAGCTGAGACTCAGACGTCTCCACTACAGGCGACTGTGTCAGACGAAATCACTATCATCTACTGAACAAATTTGAGAAAAAAAGAATCCGAACAGTTTTTTCGTCCCAACTCTGTTAGCAGACCGAGTTCAGGCATCTAGATACTTGCGACAAGCGCTACTGATGATTTTCTTCTGATTTATGTGCCGAACAGCTATGTAGCTCATCTGTAGCTCGAGTTACCGTACGTCGACGAAATGTTGCACCACTTTTGCCGCGCATTGTCAGCTATATTGCATTGCTCCTCCCCCCCCTTCCCCTGATCTTAATATTGGGCACATGGCAAAGGTCCCTTGGCGCCCCCCCCAGGGCTCGCGACAGAATGTTGCACCACCGCGCCGTTTCGATGAACCCGGGACCGCAACCAATGTTAAGATTGGGGGAGGGGGGGGTGGAAGCGAACATCCATTGCAAAATCGGCTTGCGTTCTTGACAACATCAGGTGGTGCAGCATTTTGTCGATGTACCGTGAGTTAAGATACCGACAGCACCTGCGAAAATGACACTCAACAGCCGATCCCGCCCACATTTTTTTTGACAGTAATACCTACCCGATCGACCTGAGATTAAGATGGCGAGCGAAAAATAAGATCGACGATGGGTAGAAAGAACATTAGAGCTCTAACGAATGTTCAGAATTTCGAGAACATAATTTTCAACCGGCCAGAATTATGCAAAACTTATGTCGGTATTTTTCGGGCCTCTCCAGCTTTGCTACTTCGCTCTCAGGGACGGTCTACAAGTCCTGCCCCAGGCAACCGGCCTTGGTTCAGTTGGTTTCGATGAGAACGCAAATCCCAGCTGGCTCAGCAATGGTTTTGCTGAGAACGCAAATTCCCAGCTGGCTCAGCTGCCCGCGGGTTCAGTTGCCAAGGTTTGCGGGGAGGAGAGAACTGACTCCAACGTTTTTCCAAACAGGCGCCAGCCCAAGAGCTTGGCCGCGCGCGTGGCGGCAGGTGCGACGGCGAAGACCCAGAGTGTCCGATGGGCCTGCCCACCATCACCAATCACCGATAACACGGTATCTCTGACGGAGCCGATGTCAGAATGGTGGCACTGGCTATACTGCATGGCTGCGCGCGCTATGCGGGGGACCTAGAGATGTTCACATCGACATTGCAGCGGCACGGGAAGAAAAAACTTAGGCGAAATCTTGCGGGAGGGGCGACCGGATGACCGTCTGAAAATTGGGCACTGTGCGTATGCTGGGCATGGCTTCGCGATCTGAATTTCTCGACATCTTTGACATCAAAGTATTACTGGCAAATTTTCGAAACGGCGAGACCTCGGCACCTCAACAACGATTTCACATGACCTAAATCGAGCATTGGACACAAGATGGGGGAGAAGGAAAGGGCGGGGAAGGTGGAGAGGTGAAGGACGATAAAACGGCATATCGCAGCATGAAGAATTTTGAACATGGGACGGAATGGGATCCCAACCTGATCGAGCAGAGGAAGCGGAAAACTGGGGACCAGAGGTAAACCGTCAACCAGGTTTCCGCCAGGACCCTCGCTGAGCTCTAAACATGCAAATACTCGCTCAGATTACGAAGAGAGAGCATTCTCGAATGTCAGCTTGGTCACTCGCAAAATGTATTTTTCGGGTTTTATACGTCGTCGGTTCCTCCACCTCTTCTGACAGTAATATAGGAGCTACGGACCTGAGAATTTGACGGACAGACGCGCCATAACCCATTACATGTGAGAGAAAAACTCGTTCTCGAAACGAACTGTCGAATTTCTCACAATCTTTGTCCAACAAACCCAAAGATCCCACATTGTCCACCCGGGCCGGGTGGGCCAACTGGAAACCGGCGGTAAACCGTCAACCAGGTACCGCAGGGATCCTCGTAGAGCTCTTCAATCGCGAAGTAGTGCTTAGATTTTCGACGAGGAATATCACTTCAACATCAGCCTAAAACATGAGAGAGAATGAGCTCTCTAGAGAGAGTTTACTATCAAACAAGACTCGTAGAGCTTCCCTAAGAGCGTTAGCGGCGAAGCTAGAAGAGTACCTCGTAGAGCTCTTCGGCATCGATGAGCTAGAGGAATTCCGGCGCGGGGTGCAGCTAGCTGCCTCAGCCGGCCCGGGCGGACAATGTGGCAACTTTGGGTCGGTTGGACGAAGATTATGAGAGATGACTCGTAGAGCTTCCTTTAGCTAGTTGCTGGAAGCTAAAGAGTAATTCCACAGCACTGGAGGGCTAGTTCGCAAGAAAAATGACTCGTAGAGCTTCCCTAAGAGCGTTAGCGGCGAAGCTAGAAGAGTAATTCCGGCGCGCTGGGGGGCTAGTTGGCAAAGATGTATCGACGGAAGTTTCGTCTTCTTGGACATATTGAAGTTGAATTTCTCGAAATTCAACAATTCGTTCGAGATCTATGTTTCTCCTCATGTTCGATCTTATCCCCGCTCGCCGTCTTAATATCAGGTCGATCGGGTACCTACTACTGTCAAAAAGCACTGGGGCGGGAACGGCTGTTTCGAATCATCTCGACAGGTGCTGACGGTGTTCTGACCTTAACTCGAGCTGTAGGATAGCCACAGAGCTGGTAGGCACACCTACTCGATCTAGAATCGTCAGGCGCGTTCGTCTGAAGTATACAGATGTCTGAACTCGGTATGCTACTCGATCTAGGTCCACGAAACTATTCTTACTCTACGAATTTGTTGGAGATGACGATGATTTGCTTGACTTAACTCGAGCTGCAGATGAGCTACAGAGCTGTTCGGCACAGAGATCGAAAGGACATCGTCAGGCGCGATAGACTGAAGTATTTAGACGCCTGAACTCGGTCTGCTATCAGCACTGGAGCCGAAAAACTATTCGTACTCTGCTATTTTTCAAGATGGATGATTTTCTTGACTTAACTCGAGCTGCAGATGAGCTACAGAGCGGTTCGGCACAGCAATCGGAAAGACATCATCGGGCGCACTAGTTTGAAATATCCAGACGCCTGAAAAGAGTCTGCTATCAGCGCTGCGGCTGAAACACTATTCGTACTCTGCTGTTTTGTTTCTGGAGATGGTGATGGTTTTATCGACTTAACTCGAGCTGCAGATGAGCTACAGAGCTGTTCGGCACAGCGATCGGATGGAAATCAGCAGGCGCGCTGGTTCCAAGTATCTAGACGCCTGACCTCGGTCTGCTATCAGCGCTGGGGCCGAAAAACTATTCGTACTCTGCTAGATTTTGGAGATTGCAATAATTTGCTTGACTTAACTCGAGCTGCAAATGAGTTACAGAGGAGCTGTTCGGCACAGCAATCGGAAGGAGCTCATCAGGCGCGCTAGTTCGGAGTAACTAGACGCCTGAAATCCGTCTGCTATCAGCGCTGCGGCTGAAACACTATTCGTACTATGCTATTTTTTGGAGATGGTGATGGTTTTCTCGACTTAACTCGAGCTGCAGATGAGCTACAGAGCTCTTCGGCACAGCGATCGGGAGGAAATCAGCAGGCGCGCTGGCTGTATCTAGACGCCTGATCTGACTCTGCTATCAGCGCTGAGGCCGAAAAACTATTTGTATTCTGCTATTTTTTGGAGATGGTAATGGTTTTCTTGACTTAACTCGAGCTGCAGATGAGATGCAGAGCTGTTCGGCACAACAGTCGGAAGGAAATCATCAGGCGCGCTAGTTTAAAGTATCTAGACACCTGAACTCGGTATGTTATCAGCGCTGGGGCCGAGAAACTAGTCGTTCTCTGCGAACTTGTTTGAGATGATGATGGTTTTCTTCACGCTGTTCGGCACAGCAATCGGAAGGAAAGCAACAGGCGCGCTAGCTCAAAGTGTCCAGACGCCTGAACTCGGTCTGGTATGTTTATTGTTTTTATTCCACACATGTTTTTCCCTCACTCCTTCTCCTCTACGCCCTTCTCCATGAGACCGCGCCCTCGCGCGCGCAATGCGAGATTGCCGCGCCCGCATTGCACGAGGAAGCTCTACGAGTTCCCGGCGGTAACCAAGGTTGACGGTTTACCGCTGGCCCCGAGTTGGTCGACCCGGCCAGAAAGGACAATGTAGTAACTGGGGGTCGGTTTCGCTAAGATTGCAAGGATATTTGACCATTCATTTTGAGGAGCCAGATTTTTACTGGGAGCCGGCGGTAAACCGTCAACCCTGGTTACCGCCGGGAACTCGCAGGGCTTCCTCGCGCAATGCGGGCGCGGCAATCTCGCGTTGCGCGCGCGAGGGCGCGGTCTCATGGAGGACGACGTGAAGGAGAAGAAGGGGTGAGGGCAAAGCATATGTGGAATAAGAATAATAAACATACCAGACCGAGTTCAGGCGTCTGGACACTTTGAGCTAGCGCGCCTCTTCATTCCTTATGATTGCTGCGCCGAACAGCGCATATATATATACATATACATATTTATATATATATATATACACATATAAGAATCACCATCTCTAGAAGATTAGCAGAGCACAAATAGTTGTTCGGCCCCAGCGCTGACAACAGACGAGTTCAGGCGTCTAGATACTTTAAACTAGCGCGCCTGATTAGTTCCTTCCAATTGCTGTGCCAAACAGCTCTGTAGCTCGTAAGTCAAGCAAAACCACTTCCATCTCTAAAAAATCAGAATAGTTTTCCAGACCCAGCGCTGATGACAGATCGAATTCAGGCGTCTAGATACTTTGACTACCGCGCCTGATGATTTCCTTCCGAACGCTGTGCCTGCCGGACAGCTCTGTAGCCCTTCTGCAGCTCGGGTTAAGTCAAGAAAACCATCACCATCTCGGGCAAAAAAAAAACGAATAGTATGTCGGCCCCAGCGCTGATAGCAACCCGAGGTCAGGCGTCTAGACAACTTCAACCATCACGCCTGCTAATGTCCTGCCGATGACTGTGTCGACAGCTCTGTAGCTCATCTGCAGCTCGAGTTAAGTCAAGAAAACCATTATCATCTCCTAAAAATTAACAGAGTACGAATAGTGTTTCAGCCCCAGCACTGATAGCAGACTGATGTCAGGCGTCTAGATACTTTAAGCTAGCGCGCCTGATGATTTCCGTCCGATTGCTGTGCCAAACAGCTTTGTAGCTTATCTGCAGCTCAAGTTGTTCGTCTCCAGGGCTGATAGCAGACAGAGCTCAGGCGTCTAGATACTTTAAACTAGCGCGCCTGATGATTTCCTTATGATCGATGTGTCGAAGAGCTCTGCAGCTCATCTGCAGCTCGAGTTAAATCGAGAAACTCATCATCATCTCCAAAAAAATACTACGAGTACAAATAGTTTCGCGGACCTAGCTCGAGTAGCAAACCGAGTTCAGACATCTGGATACTTGAGACGAACGCGTCTGACGATTCTAGATCGATTACGTGCGCCTACCAGCTCTGTAGCTAACCTACAGCTCGAGTTGAGTAGAGAAAACCGACAGCACCTGTCAAGATGACACGAAACAGCCGACCCCGCCTGATTGCACTTTGCCAGTAATAGGTACCCGATCGAGCTGAGATTCAGACGGCGAGCAGGAATGAGATCGAAAATGAAAAAAAACCTGAAGCTCTAACGAATGTTCAAATTCTGTGGAATCGAATTTAAACCGAGAAAAATCATGCAAAACTTCCGTCGAGACCTTTTTGCCAACTAGCCCCCCAGCGCGCCGGAATTACTCCTCTAGCTTCGCCGCTAACGCTCTTAGGGGAGCTCTACGAGTCACTCCCAACATCAGGGTCTAAATTTTGTTCTGAGAGCAGCTCAGCTCTCCGGAGGGAGTTTTACTATCGGTTCACTGCCGGGAACCGAACTCATATCAACATTTGTAAAAAAAAATAGGATTTTAAGAAAATCGTCATTTTAGTTCTCTGCTTCGATTCTAAGCACTCTTACGCGTGCAAGGAGCTCCACGAGGCTCCCGGCGGTGACCAGGTTGACGGTTCACCGCCGGCGCCAGTTTAAACACTAATGCTGGGAGTAAAAATCTAGCATCTCAAATAAATGGTTAGACATATTTCAAATCTGAGCAAACGGAGCCCAAGCTACCACTTGGTAGCGTCCAAAACCCGCATTGCAAAGAGCTTTTTGCACGCGTAAGAGTGCTCAGAATTGAAGCAGAGAACTTCGCAGAAGATTTTCTTGAAATCTTCATATTGCTGCATTTTTGGATGTCAATATGAGATCGGCTCCTGGAAGTCAACCGATAGTAAAACTCCCTCGGGAGAGCTGAGCTGCTCTCAGACCACAGCTTATATGCAAATGCTCAGCGTGAAAATCTGATTTCTTCAACTGAATGGTTAAATATCTTCCAAATCTTAGGAAAACCACCCCACGGTTACCACATTGTCCGCCCGGGCCGGTTGGGCCAACTTGGTAGCGTCCAAAACCCGAATAGCACGGAGAGCATTGGTAGCGTCCAAAACCCGGAGAGCAAAGAGACACTCACACAGAGGCTTTCCTGACTTGGTAGCGTCCGAAACCCGGAGAGCAACTGGGAGCCGGCGGTAAGACGTCAACCAGGTCACCGCCGGAAGCCTCGTAGAGCTCTTCTTCTCGCACGGAGGTGCTCAGAACACATGGGGGGATAAGTCGGTTCCTCCACGCTTCTACCTAACAGCTTGTTCTGATAGGATCCTAGTAGGGTCAAAAGAGAGCATCATGACACTCCAGGGGGGTCCGGGCGGAAGCCGGCAGAAATCGGGAGAATCCGGCGGAGCTCATTCCGTGCGTGCAGGTACGCACGGGAGCCACCTCGGCGCCATCGGAGGCGCGTTCCGTGCGTGCAGGCACGCACGGGAGCCACCTCGGCGCCATCGGAGGTGCGTTCCGTGCGTTCAGGTACGCACGGGAGCCACCTCGGCGCCATCGGAGGTGCGTTCCGTGCGTGCAGGTACGCACGGGAACCACCTCGGCGCCATCGGAGAAGCGTTCCGTCCGCGCAGGTACGCACGGGAGCCACTTCGGCGCCATCGGAGGTGAGTTCCGTGGGCGCAGGTACGCACGGGAGCCACCTCGGCGCCATCGGAGGCGCGGCTGAGGCTGAGGCAGGCTGAGGCTGAGGCTGAGGCTGAGGCTGAGGCTGATGCAGGCTGAGGCTGATGCAGGCTGAGGCCGCAGGAGCATGCGGGAGCGCAGCAGGCTGAGGCTGAGGCAGGCTGAGGCTGAGGCTGAGGCTGATGCAGGCTGAGGCTGAGGCAGGCCGAGGCCGCAGGAGCATGCGGGAGCGCAGCAGGCTGAGGCCGAGGCAGGCTGAGGCTGAGGCTGAGGCTGATGCAGGCTGAGGCTGAGGCAGGCCGAGGCCGAAGGGGCATGCGGGAGCGCAGCAGGCTGAGACTGACGCAGGCTGAAGCTGAGACTGAGGCTGATGCAGGCTGAGGCCGAGACAGGCTGAGCTGACTTGTCCTGTGGAGCTCCAGTGTCACAGAAGATGCATATGTAGCTTCCTCGTCGCATTAGGGGCCCCAGCGTCACCGAATTTGTCCTTTTACCGTCGCTGTCGTGCCACGGGGCGCTCCAGCGGGCAATCATGCGCATGAAGTACGCCACGCGCCTGCGCGCTCACGAAGAGGGCCAGGGCGCCCTGTCGCCTGCGGGCGACCGCGCGGGCTTGCACCCGCAACAGCCAACAAGGGCATGCCCACGGGCACAGCCTAAAAGGGCTTTCGTCTGCCTGTTCCTTGCCTCCCGCTCTCCTCCTTCTTCTTTCATCGACGTCAGAACCCCCGCCCCCTATGACGCTCCCCGCTGGTCTGGGTGGTCTACTCAGGTCGCGGGGGGGGGAAGGGGGGGTCGTTGCCACGGCTGGTGCCTCGTTTTCACGACGGGGAGGGGGGGGGCACCGTTTCCTCGGATGGGCACATCCCCCCTCCAGGGGCCTCCGAGCCCTCCCTATCCGACCTTTCCTTCTCCTCTCCTCCTCGGACTTCAACGCCTATGGCGTCTCCGACGACCCCCATTCGGGAGTTGTAGTAGTAGTAGTAGTAGTAGTAGTAGTAGTAGTAGTAGTAGTAGTAGTAGTAGTAGTAGTAGTAGTAGTAGTAGTAGTAGTAGTAGTAGTAGTAGTAGTAGTAGTAGTAGTAGTAGTAGTAGTAGTAGTAGTAGTAGTAGTAGTAGTAGTAGTAGTAGTAGTAGTAGTAGTAGTAGTAGTAGTAGTAGTAGTAGTAGTAGTAGTAGTAGTAGTAGTAGTAGTAGTAGTAGTAGTAGTAGTAGTAGTAGTAGTAGTAGTAGTAGTAGTAGTAGTAGTAGTAGTAGTAGTAGTAGTAGTAGTAGTAGTAGTAGTAGTAGTAGTAGTAGTAGTAGTAGTAGTAGTAGTAGTAGTAGTAGTAGTAGTAGTAGTAGTAGTAGTAGTAGTAGTAGTAGTAGTAGTAGTAGTAGTAGTAGTAGTAGTAGTAGTAGTAGTAGTAGTAGTAGTAGTAGTATAGTAGTAGTAGTAGTAGTAGTAGTAGGGGCACATTTTTAATGCCCAGATCCAACTGTAGGCCACTTCGTGTTCGTCGAGTTCCCAGAACTCCATTCCCGGGCCACATAGTTCCCAGGACTCCATTCCCGGGATACATGCTGAATGCCCAGAGCCAACTGTAGGAAACTTCGTGTTCATCGAGTTCCCAGACCTCCATTCCCGGGCCACCTTTTGCTTGCCGTCCTTGTGTTCTTAGCGTTATTACTGAGGCGTTCGAAGCCTCCCGCAATCTTAATACAATCCAATTTCCCCTCTGCCTCTGATAGCCGTCTTTGGTCCAGAACGTGTCTCCGACATTCCAATGCCCCTCGCCACAAGGTGCGTGTCCTGCGCAGTCTACATTGCAATGGCCTTCGCCTCGCCGCGAGACTCGCCCCCATCTTCGGCCTCCCGCGGTGCTCCTCAGCCTGCGGGGAGGGACCGAGGCACGTCTGCGGCCGCGCCTGCTCGCGCTACTCCTCAGCCTGAGTCTTTCACGGTCGCCTCCTTTAACTTCGGGCTCGAGCAGCCAATGATTTCCGGAAAGAGGTCCAGCACCCACTGCGCCAACTTTGGGCGGGCGTGCGCCACGATCGTCGAGAACGCTGATGCTGACCTCTTCTTTGCGCGCGAAGGCGGCGCGTTTCGTCAGCGCCTGAGCAAAGCAAAAATCCACGTGGATGACATCCCGAAGAAGCCGTTCGGCGACAGCGTTCGCTTCTCCGAGGTCGACAACTACTTGAGCTCGCGGGGCTTCGGCGGTGCTTCTCAGCCTGCCGCTGCGTCCCTGCACGGCGACGCACAGATCTACAACGTCCCCATCGGACGACAGGTGGACGCTGTAGTCTCACGGTTCAATGTGCAGACGAGCGGCCATAGCAAAGTGCACGTGATTACAAGCAATATGCACATCGTTTGCGGGGACCGGCCTCCGAGTATTGTCACGCGACAGTGTGCAGTGGGGCTTCTCCGACTCCACTTGGTGCGTTGATAGTAGTGCCTCCTTTGCAGACACGTCCACTATTGATCGCAGCGTTTCGCGCCCAGACAAATCCGATAATGAATCTAAGGAAGAACGCCTCCATATATGCTCATACACATGGCTGTTAGGTTGCTTTGCTGGGATAATTTGACAATAATATTGCGGCTAGTGACCTGAAGATTTGACAGGCACACGCGGCACAACCCACTTCACGTTACAAAAATAGCGGTTCCCAAAAGGAATTTTCAAATATTTCAGAATATTCCAAAAACCGACCCAAAGTTCCCACATTGTCCGCCCGGGCCGGGTGGATCAACTGGCTGCACCCCTCGCCGGAATTCCTCTAGCTCATCGATGCCGACTGGCGCCGGCGGTGAACCGTCAACCTGGTCCGCGGTGTCTGCGTTGGCCGATTCGAGCTCCCAAGGGAGCAGGCCAGGACACAGAGAAACTGAACAGCGAAGCTGCAAAGATTAAAGCAGAGATGCATCTAACAGCGAAGCTGTACAGAAATGCACAAGACTGCAAGTACACGAGAAAACAACTAACAGAATAATGAATGAAGCAATGCAGGCCATAGATATGGAAGCAAAGCTAGAAGCAGCGAGAGACCATACAGTAACCACTGGTTTATACAGCGATTACCGTCTCAACACCACTGAGACAAACACGAAACTAAGAGAAATAAAATAGCGAGTGCGTTTCAAAGCAATGCGAGACCATGCAGTAACCACATATAGCGATTACCGTCTCAGCACCACTGGAAGACCATGCACGTGAAACACAACGTCGAAATGTGGACTAGATAACGATTTCAACGCGCAACATACAGAGTGAGCCAAGACACCCACCACTACTTAGAGCAAATGCGGGCTCTTATCCGAACAAAGTGAAGATCAGGCGAAGCTCTTATTCAACACACGTGCATGCACGACAACCTGGTCACCGCCGGGAACCTCGTAGAGCTCCTTGCGCGCGTAAGAGTGCTCAGAATCGAAGCAGAGAACTTCGCAGAAGATTCTCGTGAAATCTTCAAGGTTCCGCCAAGTGTTTTGATAGTAAAAGTGTGCCTACGGAGCTCATATTAAGACGCAGAGGCCCTCATAGTCTTTCACAGGTGCGCAAAAAAAATGTTTTCTCAAAATGAATGGTCAAATATCTTCCAAGTCTTAGCAAAACCGACGCAACGTCGTCACATTGTCCGCCCGGGCCGGGTTGGCCAACTGGGAGCCGGCGGTAAACCGTGAACCAGGTTTTTTGCGGACTTTGCGGTCGACTGTGCAGGCTTTCCAGCCTAGTCGGAGCAAGGAGCGGACGTATCCAAACAGGCAAGGCGTGAGTGAGCACAAACTCTTATTCACATCAAACCAGTCCGAAATACGCATGTTCAACCCGCCGTATGACAAGAGGCGTATGCTCGACGTCACATGTGAAGTAATCAACGAATTAGACGGGGAAACAACCCGTGGAAGAACGTCACCTGAAGAATATGAGGGGCTCCTGCCCTTTACACACCTGAAGCGCTTAGTGGGGCCCACAGCGGGCCGTAGAGCCATCATGGCTCCTGCGAGAGGTCAAACAGAGAGATAAAGTGAGGAAAACAAGAACAGGTGAGATACAAGCATTACAGCCTTCGCTGTTCTAAACCGAAAGTTGCATACAAGTGCGCACGGATAGCTTCATCCCAATTTGTCGAAACTCCTCGGGCGTCCGAAGAATATTATTCGGTAATCGACGCACTTGGAAACCTCAAGAAACTTGGCCATCTCGGCGCGGTTCATTTGTCCTGTCAAGAACCTGTGCACCTCGAAGAATCCTAGAAGATCCTCCAGCGTCGCTTGCACGTTCTGGAGCATCTCATACAGCTTCCGAGCATAATCTTTTTGGGCCTTCTTTGTAGGGAACCCACGTTCTGTCACCAGCTTATCAAACAAATCCATTCCGTTCTTTAAATACTGGATCGCATTCAACTCGTTGATGCTGGCAACAGCGTCAATCCACGCTTTGACATCGGCAATGGTGGCCTGAGAGCACGTCGATGTCCCCTGGACCTTGTCACGATCTCTCCCTCGAGTCCTCTGGCGCGACTCCTTCGATACCTCATTGAGCGTAACGGGACGATTCAGACACCCCTGGGACGCTCCTGACAAGGCGCGGCTGTCAGAATCATACTGCACGTTCGGAGAAGACTCCGCACTCGAGGGTGCCTCCAGCTCCTCCTCCGCCGCCATAGTCACTTCCCCAAGAAGAACTCCTGAAGCTCCTCCCTCCATCCCAACGACACTATCTGTCTGACAGCCGACTTCACAATGAAAGTCCGCAACATCAACCGTCTGCACTCCAACATCAAACAGCGATTCAGAAGCCTGCACTCCAATATCTACATCGACCAGCGATTCAGAAGCCTGCATACGGCAAGAAAGATTCTCCGAAACAGTCTTAATGTCAGCCTCCTCCTCCTCCTCCAAACTGCGTTTAACAACAGGTGGATCGCGCAACAAGAGATAATCTAGAACCAAATCGGCAGTCGCCCGCCCCAGCCCTGGTGGTGGGAGACACGTGGGTGGCACCAAACCATCCAGAGGCAAACGAATAGGTAAATGCACACAGTATCCGTTTTGAACAGCCAGCGCCCGACGCATAATGCGAGCACTTGCACTCCGTACGTGTGGCATAACGAAAGATTGCAGAGACTGCCTCGGAGCACCCAGCAAAACAAATCAATTGAAGACAACTCAAGGCGATCAAACGTGTCAAATGAATGGCAGCGCAATATCACTCTAGGCGACAAACGTGTGAAACAAATCAATTGAAGACCACTCAAGGCGATCAAACGTGTCAAATGAATGGCAGTGCAATATCACTCTAGGCGACAAACGTGTGACTCCCTGACGCGCACTCGATCCCACTGGAGGTTACCCAGGCAGAGGGGATCAAATGTCAAGCGCCTTGAGCCGGGGGACTTGAGCCGGGGGACTTGAGCCGGGGGACTTGAGCCGGGGGACTTGAACCAGGTTACCGCCGGGAGCCTCGTAGAGCTCTTTTCTCGCACGGCGCTGCTCGGAACACATGAGGGAAGCTTCCTTACGCGCGAGCTGAAAAACTTGAAGAATTACGTTTTTCAGTTTTCACCCAAAGTCGGTTCCGCCAAGTGTTTTGATAGTAATATTGAAGCTACGGACCTAAAAATTTCATAGCCACACGCGGCATAACCCACTACAGGTGCGAAAAATACCGGTTCTCAAAACGAATGTTCAAATGAAGGGAACCGGCGGTAAACCGTTAACCGTGGCTACCGCCGGGAACTCGTAGAGCTCCCTCGCGCAATGCGGTCGCGGCAATCTCGCATTGCGCGCGCGAGGGCGAGGTCTCATGAAGGAGGACGTGGAGAAGGAGGGGGTGAAGGAAAAGCATCTCTGGAAACCAAATATTAGACATAGACCCAGTTCAGGCGTCTGGACACTATAAACTAGCGCGCCTGTCGATTTCCTTCCGATGGCTGCACCGAAGAGCGTAAAGAAAACCATCACCATCTTTAAAAAATACCAGAGTACAAATAGTTTCTCCGTCCGAGCGCTGATAGCAGACCAAGTTCAGGCGTCTAGATACTTTAAACTAGCGCAACTGCTTACATCCGTTCGATTGCTGCGCCGAACAGCTCTGTAGCTCATTTGCAGCTCGACTTAAATCATGAAGACCAATACCATCTCCAAAGAATTAGCAGTACGAGCCCAGCGCAAATAGCAAACCGAGATCAGGCGTCTAGATACTTTTGACTAGCGCCCCTGATGATTCTCTTCCGATTGCTGTGCTGAACAGCTCTGTAGATCATCTGCAGCGCGATTTAAGTCAAGAACACCATCACCATCTCCAAGAATTTAGCAGAGTACAAATACTTGTTCAGTCAAAGCGTTCATAGCATATTCATTTTAGGTGTCTAGATACTTCGAACTAGCGCGCCTGGCGATTTCCTTCCCATTGCTGTGCCGAAGAGCTCTCGCTCATCTGCAGCTCGAGTTAAGTGACGAAACTCATCATGATCTCGAAAAATTGGTGGAGCACGAATAGTTGCGCGGACCTAGCTCTCGTAGTAGACCGAGTTCAGAACTCTAGATGCTGGAGACGCACGCGCCTGATGACTCTGGGTCGATTAGGTGTGCATACCAGCTCTGTAGCTGTCCAACAGCTCGAGGTAAGTTCAGAAAACCGACAGCACTTGCCAAAATGACTCGACCAGCCGATCCCGCCCACATGCTTTTTGGCAGTAATAGGTACCCGATCGAGCTGAGATTAAGATGGCGAGCGGGGCTCAGATCGAAGATGGTTGAATTTCGAGAAATCAAATTTAAACCAAGCAAAAGCATGCAAAACTTCCGTCGAGTTTTTTTCCCCAACTAGCCCCCCAGCGCGCCGGAATGACTCTTCTAGCTTCGCCGCTAACGCTCTTAGGGAAGCTCTACGAGTCATTTCACAATGTTCGCCCAACCGACCCAGAGTTCCCACATTGTCCGCCCGGGCAGGGTGGGTCAACTGGCGCCGGCGGTGAACCGTCAACCTGGTCACCGCCGGGAACCTCGTAGAGCTCCTTGCACGCGTGAGATTGTTCAGAATCGAAGCAGAGAACTTCGTGGAAGATTTCCTTCAAATCTTCATTTTTGCATTTTTTGATGTTAATGTGAAGTCCGTTCCCAAGATGGCGAGCAGGAATACGATCGAAGATGGGTGGAAAAATACTAGAGCTCGAACGAATGGTTGAATTTCGATAAAACAAATCCCACCAGCCCTTTGGGCGTGAGTGGTTTAGAGAGCCCGCTCTGTTCTCGACCCCCTTCTTCCCCTTCGGGGAAGGGTTTATCCCTCCCCCTACCCCCTCCCCCTGGGCCCAGAGAGGTCCTTTCGCGGGTCGGCAGGGGAGTCATTTTCGACTCCTGGGAGGGCTAAAAAACGACACCCCTCACGAGGATTCTGGCCCCGACGGGGGGGGGCAGAAAAAACCCTGCCCTCTTCTTTGAAGCCAAAATCATTCATTTTACTACGGTTTTGGCCCCATGTTGGCCTTCTGAGGGGCCAGCGCTCATTAAAGCCCCCCATCTTCCTTCAAGGCCAAATCATTTATTTCACGAAGGTTTTGGGCTCATTTTGCCCTTCTGAGGGGGCAGCGCTCATTGAAGCTCCCCTCTTCTTTCATCCATCCACTCCAAGATGGCTCCAAGAAGCGCCCAGGAGGCACCAAGAGGCCCCAAGATGGCCCCAGGAGGGGCCCCAGGAGGCCCCCAAGAGGCGCCCAAGAGGCCCCAAGAGGCTCCCCCGAGGCACCCAAGACGCTCCAGGAAGCCCCTGGGGCCGCCAAGAGGCCCCCAACACGCCCCAAACGGCCTCCCAGAGGCCCCCAAGAGGCCCGAAGAGGCTCCCCCAAGGCACCCAAGACGCTCCTAGAAGCCCCTGGGGCCGCCAAGAGGCCCCCAAGACGCCCCAAAAGGGGACGAGGTGCCCGAACGCCTCACGCCACGAGGAGCCCGAACGACTCACACCAGGACGAGGGGCCCGAACGACTCACACCACGAAGAGCCCGAACGACTCACACCAGAAGGAGGGGCCCGAACGACTCACACCAGGACGAGGCGCCCGAACGACTCACACCACGAGGAGCCCGAACGACTCACACCACGACGAGGGCCCCGAACGACTCACACCACGAGGAGCCCGAACGAGTCACACCAGGAGGAGGGGCCCGAACGACTCACACCAGGACGAGGGGCCCGAACAACTCACACCACGAGAAGCCCGAACGACTCACACCAGGACGAAGAGCCCGAACGACTCACACCACGAAGAGCCGGAACGACTCACACCAGGACGAGAAACCCCAAACGACTCAAACCACGAGGAGCGATTTCTCCCCCTCCTCCTCCGCCTCGTCCTTCTCCCGCCCCCCCCACAAGGAGGATGTACAAGGAGGCGGGGGGGAGGAGTAACAGGGGAGATTTGCGGGGCCAAGCGGACACACGCCTGAAAAACACGACTGTCGGTATGCTTCGCAAGAGTTGCCGTTGTGAGATGGGCTGGTGGGGATACGCGAAGCGTAAAGAATTTAAACCAAGCAAACTGGGAGCCGGCGTAAACCGTCAACCTTGGTTACCGCCGGAAACTCGTAGAGCTTCCTCGTGCAATGCGGGCGCGGCAATCTCGCATTGCGCGCGCGAGGGCGAGGTCTCGTGAAGGAGGACCTGGAGGAGAAGAAGTAGTGTTTCGATCTCAGCGCTGATAGCAGACCCCAGGTCAAGCGTCTAGATACTGTGAGCTAGCGCGCGTGATGATTTCCTTCCGATTGCTGTGCCGAAGAGCTGTGTAGCTCATCTGCAGCTCGAGTCAAGAAAACCATCCGCATTTCCAAACAATTAGCAGAATACGCAGAATTTGTTGAGCCCCAGAGCTGATAGCAGACCGAAGTCAGGCGTCTAGATACTTCGAACTAGCGGCTCTGATGATTTCCTGCATACTGCTGCGGAATAGCTCTGTAGCCCATCTGCAGCTCGAGTTAAGTCGAGAGAACCATCACAATCTCCAGAAAATTAGCAAACTACGAATAGTTTGTTCGGCTTCTACGCTGATAGCAAACCGAATTCAGGCGTCTAGATATTTCAAACTGGCGCGCCTGATGATTTCCTCGCGGTTGCTGTGCCAAAGTGCTCTCTAGCTCATCTGCAGCTCGAGTTAAGTAAACAAACTCAGCATCCCCTCGAAAAACATTCGAATACGAAAAATTTCGCCGATTTGAGACCTCTAGATGCTTCAGACGAACGCGCCTGATCATTCTGAATCGATTAGGTGTGCGTACCAGCTCTGTAGCTATCCTACAGCTCGAGTTAAGTTGAGAAAACCGACAGTACATGTCACAATGACTCCAAACAGCCAATCCCGCCCACATGCTTTTTGGCAGTAACAGGTACCCGATCGAGCTGAGATTAAGACGGCGAGCGGGGCTCACATCGAAGATGGGTGGAAAAAATACTAGAGCTCCAACGAATGTCAAATTTCGAGAAATCGAATTTACTTTAGGGAAGCTCTACGAGTCAAGTATGCAACACTTCCGTCGATTTTTTTTTCCCAACTAGCCCCCCAGCGCGCCGGAATTACTCTTCTAGCTTCGTAACGCTCTTAGGGAAGCTCTACGACTCATTTCACAATGTTCGCCCAACCGACCCAAAGTTCCCACATGTCTGCCTGGGCCGGTTGGGTCAACTGGCGCTGGCGGTGAACCGTCAACCTGGTCACCGCCAGGAACCTCGTAGAGCTCCTTGCACGCGTGAGAGTGTTCAGATCGAAGCAGAGAACTTCGTTGAAGATTTCCTTCAAATCTTCTTTTTTGCATTTTTTGATGTCAATGTGAAGTCGGTTCCCCGAAGGGAACAAATACTGGGAGCCGGCCGTAAACCGTCAACCTTGCTTACCGCCGGAAACTCGTAGAGCTTCCTCGTGCAATGCGGGCGCGGCAATCTCGCATTGCGCGCGCGAGGACGCGGTCTCATGGAGACGGACGTGAAGGAGAAGAAGGAGTGAGGCAAAAGCATCTCTGGAAAAAATAAACGTACGAGACCTAGTTGAGGCGTCTGGACACTTTCAGCTAGCGCGCCTGTTCATTTCCTTCGGATTCGCCGAACAGCGCAAAGAGTAACCGACGTTGGATAAAAACAGAAAGACGTGATTTTTCGAGTTTTTCGTTTCTCGCTCCAGAAGCTTTCTTCATGTGTTCCGACGATTGCTGTGCAAGAAAAGAGCTCTACGAGGTTCCGAGCGGTAACCAGGTTGACGGTTACCGCCGGTCCCCATAATTCCGGGGCGCTGGAGAGCTAGTTGGCCAGAAAAATCTCGACGGACCTTTTTGGTGACTTTTGGTCGGTTGAAAATTTTGTTCTCGAAATTGAACCATTCGTTAGAGCTCTAGTATTTTTTCCCGTGATATTTGATCTCATTCCCGCTCGCCATCTTGATCTCAGCTCGATCGGGTA